TGGTTACTAGTGGTTGATGAGTACCCAAATTTTCTGGATTCTTTGCTATTGAGAAGCAAGGGGAATAGATGGAGCGGTAGGAAGAGAAAGAGAAAGAAAGAGATGGGTGCGTTTGGGCGTTAACGACAAAATAACGGAGATGGGTGTGTGTAATGGAGGGTGTAACGGAGGAGGGTAAGTGTAGCTTTATCCTTTTGATAATATATAGTATGATTACATTATTATATAAGATCATAAATTTATAATTATGATATCATAGCATTAAATAAATATATATACATAAATATTATGAGTATACTCTTAAACAAAAACAGTCAAAATAATGTAATGATATGTTATGTAAATTTATAAAACCACCTAACCTTATAATTATATTATTTTTTTAATAAATTTGGCAAGAACTTCCATAATTTCCGTGAAACTGAATCAACGGCAAGCTAGTCAACTTAATCTTCGTTACTAAGGATAGATATTAATGGACCGACACATCTTTTCCTGATTTGATTCAAAACACGGTTCAACCAAAAGCAAAAGCTTCCACGTTAGGAGTTGCTTTTTAATTCTAGAACAGTGTTAGTTAGTCTAGAAACAGCTTAATTTACAGTATCAAATTAAATTCTCCGAAAATTGTGGTGTCATTATCAGTAAATTTCATTATCTTATCCTAAATCTCCCACAAATAAAATTTATACGTTTGGTACGATCATCTACCTAAAAAATTTGCAAATACGTAACACCAAATAATAATTAAAATATTCTGAACGTCAAATAATTCCATAAGTACTTTTTCTACATGCAAAAGCCTTTACGTGTGACGACGGTATGAGCACATGCAACCGCCACATTGTATTTACGAAAGTCAACACAGAATATTTCCATGGTTGACTTTCAAGAGCTTCGCCAATAACAACGCTGCACGTTGATTGTGGAGAGAATTCTTCGTGATAATGGTTTTTTAATTTAGGGAAATAATTGGGAAATAATTTTTTTGTACAGTTTTTTTACATAAATTTATGTTATTTAAATGGTTTTTTTTTTAATTATTTAGAATTTATGATATTAAATTTATATACTTATTTAATGATATATAAAAATTCTTATATCACTACTCTTTAATTTAAGTGTCTAATAATTCCTTAATTATA